CCTCCCTCTCTCCCTCGCTCACCCGAAGAAAAGAAGCACCGCGCGGCTCGCACTCGGATGAAGGCGGGAAGAAGGAGCGGTTCGAGGATCGCAGCTGGCTTCGGTGCCTTACGAGGCGAATTCCTCAGTCCTCCGGAACACTGACACTAGGCAGTCCCATCTCGAGTGACTCGGCACCCACATACACGTACGCGTATATTTGGTATACGGAATCACGAAGCGCGAAGTAACCCGCTTTCGGGACATTGATAAATTAATGATAGCCGGGCGACTCTTTCCCCGCCAGCTATCCTAGCGTGTTATTTTTTTGTATCGTCAGACCTCTCGAGCCCTCTCTCTGTCTCTCTTCCTCTTTCTCTGTGTCGCCCGCGAACACAGATTCCGAGGAATCCTTCGTGAGTACCGTGTAACGAAAGACAGGTCTATGGTATATAAACGGATTACGCGCGTCTAGGAGAGGGTAAAAATGACGCGGAGAGGTACAGAGGCGTAAAAGCCGAAGCGAGAGGATCTCTCTCGCGAAAGAGTCTCGGGACGGAGTATTTATTTTTTTTCCGCGTTCACCACGCGCGCGAGACAGTGAGACGTCGAGACGTCAACGTGACTCGCAGCTCGTGCTGTGCGTGAGCATGCGTGATACACGAATGCACGGTGACGTGAATAGCCGGCTATACGTGAGGTCCGCACGGGAAGAGAAGGTGGTGGTGGAGGAGGAGGAGGAGGAAGACGAAGAGAGGCAGACTACATTGGAAGACATTAATCACCCAATGGCGACTCTCGCGAGCGCGCACATCTCGGATACCCAATACGCACGCTTATGGATGCTAGCGATGTAGAAATACCACATCCGTATTCCCAACACGCGCGGACGAGGCCACGTGACTCGGAGGGACGATTCGCGCGATCGTCGATCCCCCAGCCCGTACCCGTTTCGCGCCAAGAACAAAGGATTCTTACCGGGTCAACGGAGCGGAAACGAATATTCCAATAATACCGATCGCCATTGACGGGACTTTGAGAAGGAACGAGATCCGAGGGTCAGATTCGAGCTTTTCGCGTGACAATCCTTTCCTAAGGGAATCCCTTCCGGCGTGACCACGGTAGCCGAGACACGTCCTTTTAAGCCGAGCTTTAGACCGACTTGATTTCGAATCGCGTCAGCGGGGCGTCCTCGTAAGTTGCCCTCGACGAAGCGGGATATTACTGGGTTCATCGATATAACGTCCGATAATCCTCTTCCTCTCCCCTCCTCACCCTCCCTGTCCTCTTCCCGACTCGCGACTAGCAACACGGAATGCGGATCCGTGTACGGAGAGGACAGGTTAATTCTCCCCCTGCCTTCCGCAGACTGACGATCCGTCGAATAGGACGTACTCGCGTCCGGAATTCGGGATAGATTTCCGGAATAGAGGATTCCGCACGCGCGGATTCTAATCGGGCCGCTTTCCGTAATTCCGCGATTCTCCCTGTTCCGGCGAGAGAGGCGCCGGAGCGGGACGAGGGTAAATTCGGCATGCAAATGTTTGCGCACTTACAGGGCGTAATCGTGCCTGCAGTAGAGCCGCATGCCGCGCAGGAAGCACGAGTGCTGGTCATGCAGGGGCCTCGCACAGGCGCAACACTTTAGGCATCTGGAGTGCCAGGTACGACCCCCTACGCACAGGACGACGCGCTCGCGGACGCTCTCCCCGCAGCCGCCGCAGTCCATCTCCGCGGCATTGTATCCGTTCTCGATGCCGCCCTTCTTCGTGTCTATTATCGTCGCAACGGCAACATTGTTGTTATTGCTATTGGTATTGTTGTTATTGTTGTGCATGTTGTTGGTGGCGACGTTCGTGGTGATAGTGGGCGAGGTCGTCGGGCACAAGACGCCGTCCGCACTTTCGGAATCCGTTTCCACTTCGGTCTGTAAGAATGTAAAACCGTAAACGGTGAATCGCACACACGCGCGCGCGTCACACACACACACACACACCACAGTAAGAGTATAATATTTTAAAGAGATTATCTCGCGCGCGCGTAAAGTTGCGTTTTTCTAATGTTACGCATGAAATGACTGGTTTCCTTGAATAAACGGTAATTAACGAGATAACGTGTAGCTTGCGAGTGCCACGATTTGCCGCGAGTGAATCGCGAAAGGAGAGAAAGTCGGCTCGCGAAAGACGCAAAGATGCGAACTTGATACCGGCGAGCGCGTCGTAGCCACGAGTCCGGTAAGAGACATCTCCGATTCCGGGCTGGGGGGGGACCACGAATCTGCCGATTAATGCTCGGCAAAGTGAAATAATGGACGATCCGCCGCTTGCGAGGGCCGCCGGGGCGCGCCGAGTGATAAATGATCCCTCGTGCCTCGACGACGCATAATTACGCGTACGCGAATCCACGGGATTGGCCGCGCGCGCGATGGTCTAATTATCCGCGGGATTTTCAGGTGGCAGATCCGAAAACTGGCGCCAGGTCATCGACGAGATTTCCTGTCGTTCATCACGCGTCTCATTGAAATGACACACGCCAAGTCAATAATATTGCGGTTATCACGCTAGCCGGCTATTAAAATCACCGCGGAGACGCCGCGATTAATAACGATTGTTGATATCATCCGCCCTTTTTTATCCCCCTGTCGATGACCGGACCGACGGCGACGGCGCTCATTGTGCGATGCGTCGCCGGAGATAAACGCGGAGATAAACCGTCTATCAGATCCGCGGCGCGGATTTCTTTCGCCGTGCCCTGCCACGGCACGCGGCGCACGCCGGATCTCTCGTATGCAGATCGTATGTAATATCCGATAATATTAATTGGCACGCAAGTAACGCAACAAAGGTTATTGTTCACCCCGGGAGGCGTGCGATGAGTTAATTAGCTCGAGTAACCGGCGCGCTCTCCGCTCTCGCGCGATTCCCTCGCCGAGACGAGGGCGAGAGAGGGCGAAGAGTGGTGGTGGTGGTGGTGGAACCTCTCGCGTGGAAAAACGCGAAAAACCCCACCGTTCGCGGCCATCAGACATCTGGGAGGCTGATGGCGACCGCGAGACGGCCAATTTCGAGGATCCTTCCGCTTTCCCCGTCTTCGTCCGACGCACGTCGGAGGCTCTCCGTTCCACGGCCTCTCGGTTCTACACGCGGGGTTCGGTGTAATCATTTCATGTGCACAACCGGACAGCTATTGATTTATGACTCGCCCGAAGGCGAAGCTGAACTTCCCACTTGTGATTTATGCCTCGTGGCTTTTCTCTGTCTCCTCTCGCGTGTGGAAACCGCCTTCGCGTATCGCATACCGCGCGCCAAGTCGCGATACCTCGATTAGTATCGTCGTGCCGGGGCGATGAGTTTTAAGTGTCGTGCAAAAGCCCTCCCGAGCGCTCGGCAGCCCTCGGAGGGACGCGCGCTTCGTCACGTGGTGAACGGATGGGAAAAATCGTTGAAACGAGTTATACCGTTCGTACCGTACGCGCAATACGTCTCCAAATGAACGCGTAACGTTGACCAAGATGGATTTATGCTAATTCCGCGCGTTCGAATTAACGCGTGAATGAGCGTGCACAATGTACAAATTAACGGAAATAAGAAGCGACCTAAGGGGGAGGGGGGAGGGGAGAGAGAAAGAGGGAAAGAGATAGAGAATAACGTGTTGCACGCAATTTCTCAAAGTGTTAATGAACGAGCTGCGTTACATGCTGTCTGTCGTTAACCGAGGATAATGTAAATACCAAATGGTCTTTTCGGTTAACATCGTATTGGCTACAGGCTCGATTGTGATCCTTAACCATGGGACGTCTCACTGAACCTGCACGAACGTATAATAGCTTAAACCGGAACATTTCTTGGGTAATATTTACGATAGGTTAACCTTTTTCCGTTTGAGCCAGCGGTTGAGCTATGGTTATTCACAAATAAAAGAAACAATAATGATTTTTATAAAATTTAAGACCCAGGAAATTATTTTTTGTTATATAAGAGGAAACAAATATGTGAAACTGTAAATAAGCAAATTCTCTCTCTAACTCTCGTTTTTTGTAAATGTATTGACATCCACAAATGCGTTGCTCGCACCATTTGTATTGCGCGTTTTCTCTCTCTCTCTCTCTCTCTCTTCTGTTAAAGGAAAGATTATGATTGTACAAATATTCTCCCACGCGAATTTGACCTGACGAATCCCATTTTCGCGTTCATTGTTCGTTTTGGAACACGCTTTCTGCAATCAGCGAGCGAGAAAGAATAATAGGCTTCATTTTTTATTCTTCAACGAGCCGGGACGATGGATGTAGATGAGCTGACAAAATGAGATATGTGGAGGACGTGCAGCCCAGACACATGGACCACAGGACTATCAGACTACCGAATATATCGGAAGCTACCGGATATCCTTGTAGTTCGATCATTCCGTTATTTACATGTTGAATTAACATATTTGATTAACCAACACGTTACTCGAGCGAGTAAACAATAATGTTTTCCAAGATCCAAACTAATCCGTTTCTCTTTTTTTTTTAATAATACTTATCTTTCGTATTTCGAGAAAAATTCCCGAGAAAAACGAAAGGAATTTGACAAATTCAGAAACCACAAGTACAACTCATAACATAATAATCTGTATCGGGTACCTGTAACCTATACGTCGGTTTACATTTCAAGCCTATTCAAAGATGGCAGAACCTACCTTCATAATTATTGTCGCCGCGATTAATCCAGACGTGATTACGTGTTTCTTCTTTTCTTCATTTCGATTACCGAAGCGAGCGATGTCCGTCCACGTATTACTCGCGTTGCTCCTCACCCCTTCCTCGCGCGTGTTATAAAATCGAACGTTCTCCACCAGTCTATCCCACAGATTTGCGCCGCGGCCGGGGAATTCATTCGTCATTCATTTTACGCAGATGCGAGAACTGCGGCTGGCGAAGATTCGAACGACACCCTATTCCGATCGGTGCTACGAGAAGACTGGCATACTCGCTTCTTCCCCTACCACGTCGCTCGATGGTCGCTGGGATGGGCGATGGAAGGTGCAGTGCGTGGGGATGGTCCAGCACTCGACACTCGCATGCGTGTTCGACACTTCGTCTGTCAATGACAGCCGAACTTACGTGTGATAAGAGTGTACTTTAGACAAAAAAATGTGGAGTTCATCACGTCCCGTAAATGAGAACCTCGGTCTACACGATGATAATAATAATGAGTTGATTCGTCCTTATAAATTAATATCTCGCGCGAGATGTGGGGATGGTGTTAGACATGAAAGATCGGTGTCGGGATGCCGTCGCGTGGGAAGAGAAAATATCGGAACTATCATACACGGATGCGACACACGCAACTCGCGCCGCGTACGTGTTGTCGAGATAGATAGGTGATAATAGACGGTAGAGCACGGGAGAGAAGGATCCAGGATTCTGCCAGGATGCTGGGGTGAACATCGGGATAAGCCCCGCCCATTGTGCCCGCCCATGGGTCTCTCGATGCTGGAGCGGGACACACGTTCGCAAGGGAATGTGTATGACGTACGTATGTATGTGTGTGTGTGTGCACGTGCGTGCGTGTATGTGTGAGTAGACGGGGTGCACAGTGCACGCTCGCGCGGTGGTAGACGGTGGGTCGCGTCGCGAGCCGGGGTACCTTATTGTCGGCAGCCAAACTGCCGAATGGAATTTCAGCGGTGATTCGCAAACTGCCGCCTGAGCTCGAGTCTTGGCGCAAACTTCGTTTGCGAGTCGCGAAGCACATCCGATCTCCGACGACGGAGGAGTATGCGTGCGCCCCCTGCGTCGCGCGCATGAATTTGCCGAGTACAACCACCGCGCACGTCCTTCACGTACACGCCGTACATGCCGGAATATGTATTTTTGTAAAAAATACGCCGGGGCAACATCGAGCTCGTCTCGCTTTTTTCTTTTCACGAAATAAAATATTTCGACAATTTTTCCTCCTCCACGCCGAGCGAGTAGCAGAATGGAGGAACGTTTAATGTAATTTTATGTTGATTACGTATCAAGGATACGTGAAATGGATTCTCCTCTTTCTCGTCCGGATGAATATATGAGTTTTCGAGGAAGTTCGAAAGCACCTGTTTGTATTTTCACCGCGCCGAAGCCCCGAGCCGTAAATCATCCCCGAATGGACCGGCGGCTTTTATCATATCGCCGTCCCTCCCTGTCTATACTACTTCTATCTTTTCTACGTGCGTTTAGCGTCACCACGCACACAGATGAACGCGTTATATATTCACGAGCACAGGCTACGGGCGCACGCATTCGCGTCCACGCCCAAAATGAATATGAATTTCTCGCATCGTGGAAAACTGTCAAGCGGGTTCTCGTTTCTGTCGCCCGTGTGTTTTATTGCCGGGCGATCGGTGATCCGTGAAACGTCTCGCTTCTTAAACGACTCGAGTCCTCTCCAAAAAGATGAACGATCGACGAAACTATCGCCGAACAGATCCCGCTGTTTTGTCAATCGTTACGTCAGTTTACGTCGAAACATTGTAAAATAGTGAAAGTCACGATTGTCCTTCCGCATTATTTATTCTAAAATATCCGCATTTTCTCGACAACATTAGGATGCATTAGGGCGCGCAATTTCCGGGGAATCGCACGCGACTTTATTTATTTATTAACCTGAAGCGAGCGCGCAAAATCGCGGTAAATTCACCTACGTGCGCCGGCCCTCTCCGTGTTGCCTCGTGCTGGCTTCGAGAACGAGCCATTAGTAACGCTTACCCGGCATAAAGCGAGAAAAATGGCGGTCGAATTATTCCGGTGGCGAGGCCAGCTGTGAACAAAGATCTTCCTTCGCGAGGCACCTCGGTGGATTCTCTCTCGTGACACGAACCGCAGGGTTCCACCCCGTCCCGTCGGTGCCGAACAAATCGAAGGCGACAACGCGACGGTCGTATCCCGTATCCAACGTCCACGAGCCGTTCGTACGAGCTCATTAATCGACGCGATCGAGAGCCAAGCCCGTCGACGGTCATCGAGAATCGTACCGCGGCGGTCAAGTCACGTGCACGCACGAAGAAAAAAAATTGGACGATTAATAACGCGCCGCGGTCGCGAGTATTTGAGAGTATACCGCCGCTACTTTTACAAAGCGATCTGTATTAGTAACTTCCTGGCCCTGTGAAAGTATACTCGGATACTTACAGCGGGTTATAACATCGAGATAAGCGTGATTGTTAACGTGATATTGTATAATGTATAATCTCGATAGACGCCATCCCTGCGTCTTTTTCTACGCCTCGCTCGCATCCTCCCCGCATTTTTACACGCCGAATTAAGGAGGCTTTCGCGGGGGTTTTCCTAAATTTAAATATACCCCAGAGAGTCTTCGGTCATGAGACTGAGTACGGGGCGCCTATTATTATCATTAGAATGATCGCTCACCGGACCTGTTCGCGTTCGACGATGTGCCACAAGACCCTGACTCTATTGTCACCCCTCCGGATCTCCCCGCGCTCTCGCTTGTAAAAGAATACAAATTCGAGAAAGCAGGCTAGCGCGTCGCGCTCTCGCACCAGTAACCACCTGCTGTGCAAACAGCGAGAACGTTATAAAAATCCGGTTCGCTGCCTCTCAACCGAAAACGCGAGTGTTTCACAAAACGTACTATCTGTCACGCCTCCGCGTTTACGTGTGGACCACACAAAACAGTCGCACGAGTGATAAGGACGAACCGTATAAGTTTAGCGTGACCTTGGCCTGCTAAATCTTGACAGCGTGAAACGTAACACGCTACACGCCTCGATTTTTGGTCCTTGAATGTTTCGTTCGATGTGAACCTTTTTGTGATAAAAAGGGCTTCGTAAATGTTTTCGTAAAATTTGAAATAACAGACTCATCGTATAATTTTTATCTACAAATTTTTCGATTTTACGATTGATCTTTTCCTTAAAGCAAAAAAATTTGCGCGGATTTTGTAGTTGCGAGCGTTGTATTTTATCGCGAATTTATGTTAAACTTGAGAAGTACGCGCGTAAGAAGAAAACAATTCTACGACAATTTTGCAAATTTTCCCAGTTTGAAATTCCCAGTTTGTGCCTCTCGCGCAGCAGCGCGAGCGATTGCGACGGTAACGGAGAGCCGACGCGACGCTCTCTCATCCTCTCCATCCGCATCCTACATTCAACCTCCTGCTCTGTGATCTCAGGGCGCCTGTGTTTCATCCCTCTTGAAGTTAGCTAACAGTAGGATCCTGCACAATATAGTCGTGATTGCAAATCCGCTCGTTATCGCCAAAACTGTGCTCGACCTTACGAAAACCAGCCTTCGCTCTCCAAAGACTTCCTCCCCCGAACTCTCTCTCTTTCTCTCTTTCTCTCTATCTCTCTATCTATCTATTTATCTATCTGTCTTTCTCTCACAGTATATGCCATTTCTTTGATGAAACAAGGAACACTTTTTCTGCGTGCAAATATTTTTTCGGATATTCATCATCTATTCGACATTCGCAAAACGTGCTCGGGGAAACAAAAGAAAATTCTCTTTATTCTTGATTGGAAAACGATTTTCGTCCAGATTGGCGTCTCGAGAGAATTTCAGCTTTAACTGAAATTGAAATCAAAATAAAAATACAGATTATTTGTCATAACATTTATATATATTTAAATTCTAAATTTAAAGCACTAATTCTGCCAAAGTAATTACATACATAAATATACTATTTTCTATTTGAGTTTCTATTGAGAAACAGCAACACGCAATTAAAGACGACCTTACATCATATGTTCGATCGAGTTAAAAATTGCAAAAACCGATAAATAGTATATTCACTTACGCACGAAATAAAAAGCGGAATGTGTGCGCCGGTGCAGGTCGAAACACACTTCTGTCAACGAGAACGATCAAATATTAATCGGCAAAACATTCCGATGATTGCACAGGTGCGAGAAGATCGATCTCCGAAGTTATCAGCCTATGAAATTATCTTTCCTTTTATCAGCGAAATCATTAAGGTATAGTATCTTGATATCTATAAAATTGATTGTCTACTAAAGTTGATACAAAATCGATTGAAAATTAACTTTTATTGATTTTTTTTTTTATTTTAATACATTTATATTAAAAATTTGGAAGAAGGAGAGATAATCGATATCACATTACTGATTTATTAAAGGGAAAAATTTATAACTATAGCGCTTTAAACTGCTATGTTGCAAATCCGTTAAAAACCATAACATAGTTGACAATATAAACTATTATCTTAAATTTATATAAATATATATATATATATATATATATATAAATTCAAAAAAAAGATTATTAGGTGTTTGCCTACTGAGCAATGCCACGTATTATTATCTATTATTCTGATATTTATGTTAAATTCAATTGATATGAAGATTTTTCGCTCTTTTTGTGCATCTCATATGATTCTGAGATGAAACATGCTACGAGAATCATTATTCTGCTTCGGTCCTCGAGGATGGTCGACGACAAGAGTTGGGGAACAGTAACGGCTGAGTTTTGGTAGTACATGCCGACGATTCTCGCTCACCTGTAATAGCACAGATCGTTTCGTCATCGGGCGGGAATGCCGTGGGTTCGATCAAAGCGTATGGGTTCACGGTACCTTCTTCCCCCGGGGTACGATCGATGCTACATGTGATTACGTCGGACGTTTTGTTAGTCTAACACGAGAGATACCAAAAAAATAGCGACGATGAATAG